CTTCCTCCTGCGTGTCTATTTCCAGCCAGGACCGCCGGCGACCGCCGCACCGGTGCCCTCACCGACCCTCTCCTCGGGGGAGAATGGCACCGGCGACTGGGCTCCGCGGCTCGTGTTCATCGAGGAGCCCCCGGGCGGTAGCAGCGTGGCCCCTAGCGCGGTCCCCACGCGCCCCCCGGGACCGCAGCGCTGCCGGGAGCAGAGCGACTGGGCATCGGACGTGGAAGTCCTGGGGCCCTTGCGTCCCGGGGGCGTGGCAGGCTCGGCCCTGGTCCAGGTGCGAGTGCGGGAGCTGCGCAAGGGCGAGGCGGAGCGGGGCGGCGCGGGCGGTGGCGGGAAGCTCTTTTCGCTCTGCGCCTGGGATGGGCGCGCGTGGCACCACCACGGCGCCGCCGGCGGCTTCCTGCTGCGCGTCCGCCCGCGGTTGTACGGCCCAGGCGGGGACCTGCTGCCCCCTGCGTGGCTGCGGGCGCTCGGGGCGCTCCTGCTGCTAGCCTTGTCGGCCCTGTTCAGCGGCCTGCGCCTGAGCCTGCTGTCGCTGGACCCGGTGGAGTTACGGGTGCTGCGGAACAGCGGCTCGGCCGCCGAGCAGGAGCAGGCGCGCCGCGTGCAGGCCGTTCGCGGCAGGGGGACCCATCTGCTCTGCACCCTGCTCCTGGGCCAAGCCGGAGCCAACGCGGCCCTGGCTGGCTGGCTGTACGCCTCGCTGCCGCCGGGCGTCGGGGGCACCGGGGAAGACTACGGCGAAGAGGGGATCCACTTCCCTTGGCTGCCGGCGCTCGTGTGCACCGGCGCGGTATTCCTGGGCGCCGAAATCTGCCCATACTCAGTGTGTTCGCGGCATGGGCTGGCCATCGCCTCGCACAGCGTGTGCCTGACCCGGCTTCTGATGGCAGCCGCCTTTCCCGTGTGCTACCCGCTGGGCCGCCTGCTGGACTGGGCGCTGCGCCAGGAGATAAGCACCTTCTACACGCGGGAGAAGCTGCTGGAGACGTTGCGGGCCGCAGACCCCTACAGCGACCTGGTGAAGGAGGAGCTCAACATCATACAGGGTGCCCTGGAGCTGCGCACCAAAGTGGTGGAGGAGGTGCTGACCCCCCTGGGAGACTGCTTCATGCTGCGCTCAGACGCGGTGCTCGATTTCGCCACTGTCTCCGAGATCCTGCGCAGCGGCTACACTCGCATCCCAGTGTATGAGGGCGACCAGCGGCACAACATTGTGGACATTTTATTTGTCAAGGACTTGGCCTTCGTGGACCCCGACGACTGCACCCCGCTCCTCACTGTCACCCGCTTCTACAACCGGCCCCTGCATTGTGTTTTCAATGACACCCGACTGGACACGGTACTGGAGGAGTTTAAGAAGGGTGAGCAGGAGTCTATCTTCTCCCCCAACTCCTATCCCCTTCAAAGGTTTTATCCTTTCCTAACCACGTGAGGCTCTAGGTACCTAAAGCAATTTCTCTCCTATGGTACCAAAAACCCAAGGAAGACTCTACCTCTTGGCTCCCTGGCTATTTTCATCTCACTTCTACCTCACTTCTTGCTCCTGATTGAGCCCCAGGCCTCTTCCCCTCTACTTGACTCACAAGATGCAACATATTCCTTGTTTATTCCATTCCACCAGTGTTTTTCCAACGCCTACCAAGTGTTAGATACTGTGTAGGTCGGAGATAGCCCTTGAAGGTCATTGCATAGCTCCCCACCTATTACAGGAGGCACCTCTACAGGTTCCCATACAAGCAGCCTTTGCTTTAAACTCCCAGGGCTGAAAGCTCACTATTTACAGAGCAAACTAGTCCCATTGCTGGACAGCTCCAGTGGCTGACAATGTCTTCCCCATATAAAGCAGAAATTTGTGTCTCCAGATCCTCCTAACTATTCTGCCTTTTGAATCATGTAGACTAAACCCAAACACCTTAGACATTCTTCCCCATATTTAACTTCCCATCAGGTATTGGCTGCACACATATCAAGTACTCAGGTTCAGGGCCTGGTGCGGTGGCTCATGCTTGTAATCCCAGCACTTTGGGAAGCTCAGGCAGGAGGATTACTTGAGCCCAAGAGTTCAAAGCTGCAGTGAGCTGTAATCCCACCACTGTACAAAAGAACAAGACGCTGTCTTTGAGGGGGGAGGGAAGTACTCAGGTTGGGGGTTAAAAGTTGACTAAGGCAGTAGGATCCTTGTAATTCTGGGAACTGTGGTCCTGTGAAATAGGATAGATCTGAACCTGAAGAAATATTCTGGGTAGAGGAGATCCTAGAATGAGTGGGGTTTTCTTCAGTGCAGTCACCATCATCCAACCCTCCTCCCCAAACTCAGGCTTGATGTCATGCTTATAACTTGTTTACTTCATGTCTGAGTTTGTCTTCAGAAAGTGCCTTCTGGTGACTATAAATTCACTCAAGAAAAATCAGCCTGGGTACATTAGAGTCACTCTTCTTGGCCTTACACAGTTTGACTGCCCCCCTAGTTCACCAGATTTCGCCCAGAACCCTTGACTGTTTTTTAAAATCAAATCTACTTTCAAGAATCAACATTGAGAGCATTCAAAAGACTATCTCACAAACCCTGAAAGCAACTCCAGAAATCATAATTTGAAAACAGGGACACGGCCGGGCGCGGTGGCTCAAGCCTGTAATCCCAGCACTTTGGGAGGCCGAGACGGGCGGATCACGAGGTCAGAAGATCGAGACCATCCTGGCTAACACGGTGAAAACCCCGTCTCTACTAAAACTACAAAAAAACTAGCCGGGCGAGGTGGCGGGCGCCTGTAGTCCCAGCTACTCCGGAGGCTGAGGCAGGAGAATGGCATGAACTCGGGAGGCGGAGCTTGCAGTGAGCTGAGATCCGGCCACTGCACTCCAGCCTGGGCGACAGAGCCAGACTCCGTCTCAAAAAAAAAAAAAAAAAAAAAGAAAACAGGGACACAATTAGAATAAGTGTAGAACTTTCCAGAATGACTCTCATCTGATATGAGTTGGAATGTTTATTAAAAACGAAAACCAAAAAATCAATCCCTTGACTTCAGATTCAGGCTTCAGATCTAGCTTCCTTGTGGCTAGCAGTACTCTCATTTGACTGCATTTTGTATAATTTTTTTTGTCAAAAATGTAATCCATGATAATTTGAGCCCAAGGCTGCAGTGAGCTATGATTATGCCACTGAACTGTAGCCTGGATTACAGAGCAAGACCCTGTCTCAAAAAAGAAAGAAACAAAGCAAGAAAGAGAGAGAGGATGGAAGAAAAGAAGGAAGGAAGGAAGGAGGGAAGGAAGGAAGGAAGGAAGGAAGGAAGGAAGGAAGGGAGGGAGGGAGGGAGGGAAGGGAGGGAGGGAGGGAGGGAAGGAAGGAAGGAAGGAAGGAAGGAAGGAAGGAAGGAAGGAAGGGAGGGAGGGAGGGAAGGCAGGGAGGGAGGGAAGGCGGGGAAGGAAGGAAGGAAGGGAGGGAGGGAGGGAGGGAAAGGAAAAATTCAATCTCACTACTTTAACATCATAAATAGTCTTTAGAACTTTGAATACAAACAAATCTGGGGTCTTGTTCCTGCCACAATATTTTGAAATCATATTAAATCTTAAAATGTAGCCTGGGAGGGGGGAAAAGGTCTAAAAGCTACTTTCAGTCTCAGATTTGAGAGAACAGCCCTAGACTTTGTGTTGGTATGATGAAAAGGGAGAGAAATGTATATATGGCAGCTATTTTAGTCCATTTTCGGCTGCTGTCTCACCCTGTTCAGTCCATCTCACCTTAATCCTTGCATTCATAGCTCCCACTGCAACTTGAGGTTCATCTATCCACTCTTAGAATTGTGCTGATATTTTGTGTATCTTAGAGAAGTAGGGTCTTAGATCTGGGCATTGGGGGGCATAAACCACAGAAATTTATTTCGTCAAAGATCTGAAGGCTAGCAGTCTGAGATCAAGGTGTCTGGGCAGGTTTGGTTTCTTCTGAGGCATCTCTCCTTGGCTTGCAGTCACCACCTTCTAACTGTGTCCTGACATGGTATTTCCTCTGTATGCATGCATCCCTGATGTCTCCTTGTGTGACCAAATTTTCTCTTCTAGCAGGGACACCAGTCAGATTGGATTAGGCCCACCCTACTGGCCTCATTTTAACTCAGTCACCTCTTAAAAGTGATAGTTAAGATACAGAGCAGTGTGTCATTGTCATATGCTGGCAGAAGATGTTTTAAATGAAACTCCCATGAACTCATTCATTCACTTGTTTAGGTTTTTTTGTTTGTTTTTTTGTTCGTTTGTTTGAGACAGGGTTTCACTCCGTCGCCCAGGCTGGAATGCAATGGCGCCATCTCGGCTCACTGCAACCTCTGTCTCCTGGGTTCAAGCAATTCTTCTGCCTCAGCCTCCCAAGTAGCTGTGAGTACAGGAGTACAGCACCAAGCCTGGCTAATTTTTGTATTTTTAGTAGAGAGCCACTGCACCCAGCCTCATTTAGTATTTTTTAAACATCTGTACAGTTTGAGGCAACAGGGGAGACAAGAAGACTGTCCTCAGGAGGTTAGCAATATACAGGGCATAATGAGCAGTGTTCTGAAGTAGGAATTGTCATATCAACTCTTATATCCCCAGCACCTTACACAGTGCCTTGTACATAGTAAGCTGTTCCAAAAAGTTGATATTGATCTCAAATGAATCCCTGTTCAGAGTTTCTAAACGTGGTCTGAAAAAAGTTCCTTTAGTGTTCTATTAATAGCTACTTTGTTTTTAGGTAGATCACTAAAGAGAAGCAAGCCATTATAGAGAATACTATGCCAAGGAAGATATTTCCACTTCCTTTCGTAGCCTTGCTACTTCCTCAAAGTAAGGTCCATGAAAGAGCAGCATGAGTCTCACCTGGGAACATATTAGAAATGCAGAATTTTATGCCTTACCCTAAATCCACTGAATGAAAATCTGCATTCTAGCAAGCCTCCAGGTGGCTCCTATGTGACATTAAAGTTTGAGAAGCATTGCCTTCAGAGACCCCTTATTAACAGTGTTTGGTAGATCTGCTTAGGATAGAATATGAGACATAATGAAGAAGGTGGATGTCCTCAGGCTGCAAGCCGTATAACATAGTGGTCATTTTCTTTAGGAGTTATACATTTGCACCATAGGTTAGGAGATGAAAGCTGGGTTGAACTGCTTTTCTTTGCCTTTAAAAACAACTTTTTTGGCTGGGCGCGGTGGCTCACGCCTGTAATCCCAGCACTTTGGGAGGCCGAGGTGGGTGGATCACCTGAGGTCAGGAGTTGGTGACCAGCCTGGCCAACATGGTGAAACCTCATCTCTACTAAAAATACAAAAATTAGCCAGGTGTGGTGGCACACACCTGTAATCCCAGTTAATTGGGAGGCTGAGACAGGAGAATTGCTGAGATAGGAGGCGGAGGTTGCAGTGAGCCGAGATTGCACCACTGTACTCCAGCCTGGGTGACAGAACAAGACTCTGTCTCAAAATAAATAAATAATTAATTAAAAAATAATTTTTAAAGCAGGTCTTTAATAGCTCTTCCATTTTTCTTACTTCCTTGCAACTCAAGTAACTTAACCACCACCAAATCCCTTAGAAGGTAGAAGAATGATATTAATAGAAGCCACAGTTACCATTAATTGAGCACTATCAGTTCTTCCAGGCACCATGCCAGGCCCTTTACATACTCAGAACAACCCTCCCGGGTAGGTGTTATTAACCCCATTTTGCAGAAGAAGAAACTAAAGCTCGGATCAATAACATGACTTGTACAACTTTCCATAACTAATAACTGACTGAATTGTGATGTGAACTACATCTGTAGGACCCCAAAGCCTGTTCTTTCCCTGCTTCACCCATCTTATTCCTTCCTCCATCCTGGAATGCCTGCCACCCACAGGGTTCAAAGGTAGCTTTTTCACCTCTGATTGCTGCCCATGGCTGATTCACCTCCAGTTTCTGGAGGTCAGTAATGCAGCTTTATAATTACAGTAATTGCTAACATGCATATTGCGCTTGACAGAACATTTCTATATACCTTCTCTTGTCCAATCTTAAACAACTCTGCAGTTACAGGTGATGATATGGGATTTTATCTTTTTACTTCTTACGAGTTGCAAGTCTTTAGCAGTGGGGAAGAGGAAAATGGTTTTTCACACTAGAGTGCTAGGTTTACAAAAGGGAACAATATTTCTCCCCACTGAACTGTAAGTTCATTGAGGGCAGAGAATGAATCTTATTTACTTTGTACTATCAGGGCAAGTACAGTGACCACCATGGCTAGGGGATGTGTAAACATTTATTGAATAAATGATTTTAAATACCTAACTTCTATATTTCTATGTTTGAGTGAGGTGACCTCTAAGTACAGAATAGTTAATGTTGTTCCTTAATC